TTCATTTTGGGTTAGAAAAGTGGGGAGTGTCTTATATGTGGGGGTGTCTTATACACAGAAAAATACGGTATTTCTCAAGTAAAGCATCAGAATGCTATATATGCTGTCGTCCTGGGAGACAAGACACACTGGGTGAAATCTTGTTGTGCAGTTACACAAAAGGCATAACTTTTAGTGGTGAATTGCCAGAAGTTATGAAACCTCTGTCGATATTAGCCAGTTCTGTGTACAACAGATAATGCTTATGGAAATGTCTTAACTTTTGCCAAGGCGTTGCTAAAAGTTACGCCCTTTGCTTAGGTGTGCAACAGGACTTTGGCCACAAAGTCACACCCTCTAACTAAAAAGTAATTAACAAAAATGCCGATGCGGTCCCTCGTTGTGCTAAAATTGTCACGTAACTTAGTTATGCTTTATTGATTGCCAAAAAAGAAATGAATTACAAGTAACCGTCCTCTTTCAGGCTCCTGCAAATTCCAACTTGCATGGCCAGGGATGATGATGGCGACATTAGGCTTAAGCACCGGAAGCAAACACACTAATTCTCCTTTTCTTTTGCTGCAGGGGCAGCAGGACTTGTTCTGGGACACCCCATCGACACAGTCAAGGTGATTTGTGGTGTGAGAAATGTGAGGGGGAAGCAATCCTCTTGCACTGGGGGGGGGGCTGAAAGGGCACAGATCCCAGACAGCGAGTAGGGGAATGATGGCAGCCGTAGCACTGGGAGGTGCACATCATAAACCGTGGGAGGATTTGAGCCGTTTCCAAAAACAGACAGTTGTGAGCAAGGCGTTCCAAAAGCGTGCAGGGGAGAGGCTGTACAGAACAGCAGGCTAGAGTGTTGATCTGGTCTCGCGGCATCATCTCCCACTCACTGTCCCTGAAGCCATTGGGCATAAACCGCCACCAAGAGACAGTTTGGACTTAGAAGGAGAGCGAATAAGGCTAGGAGGGCTTTTTTTGTAACATTCACTGCTAGATTTGGAAATAAGGCTAGGAGGGCTATTTTTTTTGTAACATTCACTGCTAGATTTGGGTGCAAAATCTGTGCCAAAGCCCCATGGGCCTGCTTACCTCTATCTAATGTTCCTCTCATCTCGGTTACCACCGTGTTCTTTCCGATGGCTTTTGGCATCTTTTTATTTATTTTATTTATTATCTTCTCTTCCTTTTTTGAAAACATGGTCTATGTGTAACCGGGGTAGGCGGGTGTTTGACACTATGCACTTCCCACTGGATAGGGATCTCCCTGCTTATGATATTGCAGTGAGCGCCAAAGAAAGGATTAGTTCCAGTAAAGAATGAGGTTGCTTACAGATTTCTTTCAAAAAAATTTCTTGAAGGTCTCTTAAAGAGAGTAGAAGCTGGTGATGAAGGTGAAATTTGGATGCAAATCCTACTCACGGTCCTGAAGCATTGCAAGTTTACAAAATCTCATCCCTTAATGAGATTCTGGGGAGATGCTGTCTGGATTTCAAGCAGACTTTGGGGTTCCCCTGACCCTAGGCTGTTCTGGAATAAAAGGAGGGGTAGCGGTAGCTCAGCAAGCTTTTTGTCCTGTTCCAGGTACGGCTGCAGACGCAGGCAGGCTATCGAAATATCCTGGACTGTGTCATCACGACATACCGAGACGAAACGGTGTGTATGTTTCTGCATTGCTTGCTTGTAGGCTTTGGCCTTGAGGCTCACCTTTGGGGAGTCCATGCTCAGGGCAGGGCCAGTATGAGTTGTTGCCTGAGGAGGAGAAGGAGGAGGTGGTCCCTCATCGCCCTGTTCAGCGTACAAAGTGTGACTGGAGATGAACACAAAGTGCTTCGTGCCCCGTTGTCATAAATCATCTGCGCGGTAGCACAGCTGCCACACTTCCCTTCCGCCTCCCTTCCACCAGGTCACCCACGAACCTGCTGACGTGCACTCCCCGTCACATGATCTTCCAGTCTGGGTAGGAACTCAGATTTCTCTGCCTCCTCCAGCAGCTGGCCACTCATTGTCTATTCAAAAAAAAAATCAGCCTCCCTTTACTATTTTGCAGGGGTGGCCTGCAGCAATACTGTATAATATTCCTGGCAAAACCCATTTCTCTTCTTTGCAATAATCAGAACGAATGACCGAGGAACCTGGGCATGTGGCACTGGGCGTTATAGTACAGGGCCTTGCTTAAAAAGAGAATCACTGCTCTTGGAAGCTTCTGGGTTTAGGAGTCCCCTGGGCAGGAGGGGCCTAGGGGCCCCCAAACCATTGAGGGAGACCATGGTTCCCCTGTTTCCCATCCCTACTCAATAGAACAACGGTTGAAACCTGTAACAAAATGTTGCAGTAGATGCTTGCTTTCTTTATCCCAGCTCTGCTCTAGTTTTCTGTTTCTGGGGGTTGGCCACTGAGGGAAACAGGAGTGTGGACTAGATGGGCTTTTGGCTTGATATAGCACCATGGGAGTGTGTGTGCGAGTCTCTGTCTGTGTACAGTGGTGCCTCGCTAGACAGTCACCCCGCATGACAGTTTTTTCGCTAGACATTGACTTTTTGTGATTGCTATAGCGATTCGCAAAACAGTGATTCCTATGGGGGGATTTCGCTAGACAATGTTTGGTCCCTGCTTCGCAAACCGATTTTCGCTAGACGACGATTTTGACAGCTCCCTCCGTGCTCGCAAAATGGGTGTTTTCGGGACCTAAGCTTCACAAGACAGCGATTTAAACAGCTGATCGGCGGTTCGCAAAGCGGCTTTCCTATGGCCGATCTTCACTAGACAACGGCGATTCTTCCCGATTGGAACGCATTAAACAGGTTTCAATGCATTCCAATGGGGAAATGCTTTTCGCTAGATGATGATTTCACTAAACAGCGATTTCAGTGAAACGGATTATCATCGTCTAGCAAGGCACCACTGTATACCATTCTGACGCCATGTGAGTGTACTGGGTCATTGGTCAGGCCTGCAGTGTATTTGTATATTTGTGCAGAATTAGAAGTTCCCATTCTGACTTCCTTTTCTTTTTCAGACTGTCCTTGCATGTAACCCCGTTTAACCAAACACCATTCCTCCGCCTCGCCACTTCATGGCTCCAGCCCTTGATGATGATGAAAGCTCAGGTTCCCTTCAAGCTGGTGGCCTTCCGGTCGCTGCTGTTCTGCAGGTCGATCCTTCTTGGGCTGTTCTGTAAATCTTTAGCAGCCTTTCAGGATGAAAAAAAAAAAGTTAGGATTTTTAAAATCAGAATTTAATGTTATTCCACCCTCCGGTGCTCTTGTCCCCTCTGAACTTTGTCGGATCTCTGGTTCCTCCAGAGCCATGAATTTTAGAGTGACGTGAACCTGGATGGATAATTAAGATCCATTAGCTTTCCATAATACTTTGCACCAGCAGGGAGGGGGAGGGGAAAGGTAGAACAATTTTAATAGACATGGATCAAGATATCTCTTGCATTTTTGGATCTGTCCTGAGAAATACCTGCATTTCCACTTCTACTTTGACACTCCAGGTGCCCAGATCTCCCAGCGAAGTGTCTGCATTTCCCCCCAGTTAACTCCTGGTTAATGGCTCATCTCGGGAAGACAAAGAATGTGCACTTGATTAAAGATTAAGGCAGTTCCACAACGACATTGACTCTGACCAGATCTCTTTCTTCCACGTATAGATTTTGCCAGAGTGTCCAGGTTTATTTACGATGCCCACTGCTGAGTTTCTTGCTGGCTGGCTTTCGGGTAAGACCACTATCTTATAAGCTCGCCTTTATCTCTTTTCACAAGGAGCAAGATAGGGGGTCCGACTGTCCTCTGTAGTCCTCTGTACAGTTGTGCCCCGCTGGACGATTACCCCGCTGTACGACAAATCTGCATTACATTGATGTTTTTGCAGTCGCAAAATGATGGTTTAAATGGGGGAATTTCGCTTAACGATGACCGGTCCCCTGCTTCGGGAACCGATTTTCGCTTTACGACGCTGATTGTCGGGTTTCAAAATGGCCGCCACCTGAAGAAAATGGCACCCCGCTGTTTTCTACAACAGATTCCTCATTTTACAGGCACCGAAAATGGCTGCCATATGGAGGATCTTCACTGGACGAGCAGGTATTCAGCCCATTGGAACGCATTGAACGGTTTTCAATGTGTTTCAATGGGTTGTTTCGTTTCATTTGACGATGTTTTCGCTCTACAGCAATTTCGCTGGAACAAATTAACATCGTCAAGCGAGGCACCACTGTACATGACAGTAGGTCTGCTCAACGTGGCTCTAGTCTTTAATTCAGTTCAATTTTGTGTAGGTGACAGAATGATAACTGATCACCCAGAGAAAAGTCCTCAGGAGAGACATTTGGCACTGGAGCGACTCAGTGATATGTTACCAGCTGGCTCCAATGGAGAAATTTCCCGGAAGCCTGCAGAGGTCCTTGGTAACAGACAGCAAGCATTGGAACACCCAGCAAAGGAACGAGACGGATCCGGTGAGTATAAGGGGAGATCTGCATTTTATACACGAAGCCTCCTCTTAGTCCTTAGGGCTATAGGAGCAGGTCTTCTGAAATCTTGGCAGTCCGAAGGACACTGCATTCTGCCTATGGGGAAAGTAGGGAGGGCAGAGGATCCAAAGCCCTGAAAAGTTCCTTGCACATCAAGAACCTAGTCCTCAATGAGGTAGTAAACCCTGCATCTGGGCTGTACTGCTTCAAACTGTAAGTAGGCAGTGTGTTCCTGCACACATACTATATCCTGATTCATTACACCCGGGAAAGTGTCATGTCAGAGGGAAGGATCCTTGCTTGCTTTTTGGAAACTACTGTCGGATTGGAACCAGATGTGGAAGTAGGTGTTTTCCAACTGAAACCTCAGTAGAGTTGAGCCAAAGACAGGGTTGGGTTTTTCTTTTCTTTTTGATGTGAAACTGGAAGGCAGAAGGAAGTGCTCTGTTGACCTGGCATATGGGTCAGAGATGGTACAAACCCCTGGTTTGGCCCTGTGTGTTTACGGCCACAACAGGGGCTGGGCGGTTTGGTGCTCCGCCCTCTCCAGTGGCAGCCCACAGAGGAGGCGGGGCAGGGAAGCCAGGAGGATGCCTCTGAATGGGTGCCTGCTGGAGGAGGCGCGGTGCCAAACACCCACTGGGGCCATAAATGAACTGGGACAAATCACTGAACCAACAGCCCGTCCCCATCTCTACTTATGATATACAGCAATGCTCCCCAACCTTGACCCTTCAGATGTTCTTGGACTACAGTTCCCAGAAGCCTTCACCACCACCTCTGCTGGCCAGGATTTCTGAGAGTTGAAGTCCAAGAACATCTGGAGGCCCAAGGTTGGGGACCACTGATATATAGTATTATACCAAATGTAGACAGACCAGAAGCTTGATGTTTCCTCCCACTGG